TCCATTTGTCCCACCTGCCGCCAGACCCAACAGTGGAGCCCTCTGTTCCTCCTGCAGCCCATACCAGGGCCACACTGCCTTTTCTTTCCTGTCCCTAACAGACAGAACATCTGTTAAAACTATGTCTTGGCAAGGTGCAGCAGAGAATGTAAATCCCCAAATCCACTCCCGCCCTGTCGCTTGCTAGGCCTGTCTGGAGATGGCTTACAGGCAGCAGGCCCTGCAGCCAGCTCTGCCTGGTCATACTCTAGACACAACTCTAGGCTTGGGGGCAGACACAGTGAGTCCCCTGGCCCGATCATGTACGGCCCTAAGCCGCAGGAGGCACACTGCTAGTCACTGCCCTCAAACCTGGATGACAAAAGTCAGAACAACAGGGCCCGCAGAGCCTGGCAGTGAGGGAGCTGCAGGCTTCGGAGGACAGACAGCGGTGGCAACTCCCAAATAAGGCCCCTGCTACTGCTGTTTTTAGCCCAATCCACATAATTGGAAAAACATGGGGGAAAACCAAAGCCAGCTGCTTTCGGAGGTTGCGGCAGAGGGGGCGGGGAGGGAGGCCGGCCCAAGCCTGACAACGGGCCCAGGCAAGGCTCTCGGTCTTCTGGCTTCTGAGGGTTGAGAGTCACCCTGAGCTGTGGAGACCCACAACACGGCCACCCTGGGCCTTACAGAGCCCAAGCTGAGCTGAGCAGTAGCTGGCTGCTCCCTGTAATAACCTCTGTTGGTCTCACTCTGGAGAGGCTGGGGAACAGGAGGCACCGAGAACCCCAGAGCCAAAGGTTGCCCCACTCAGGGCCTCAGGACTAAATGCTTCTGAACCCAAAGGGCAGGAGGAGCCAGCTCCCTCCTCCGGGAGGGCCATGTCTGGTGGTCAGTCTATGCTAACCCAAGCAATGTGTAAAGCTCTTTTTGGTCAGACATGGAACGTGCCTGTAATCCCACTACTTGGGAAGTAGAGGCAGGACGGGTCAGTTTGCAGCTAGCCTGGGCTAGATGGTGAGTTCCAGGCCAGTCTGGGTTATATAGAAAGCCCCTCTCTCAAAAACAAACAAACCAAAAGCAGCTCCAGGGAACCGGGGAGATCACTCAGTGGGTGAAATGCTTTCCTTGTGAGGACTGGCACTCGGATCCCCAGAACACATGTGAATGCCAGGTGGGTGTGCTGACCCCGCACTCCGAAGGCAGAGACAGGGATCCCTACACAGCTAGTTAGAGACAACTGTAGTTCAGGGCCCTGAGGAGCGATGCTCCCCTGTGCATCGACTACACAAGCACCTGTTCCCTATGTTCTCCGAGTTTATGGGATATCGCCTCATCTCCCAATTGCTGGGGTCCTGACAAGGCCACCATCTCAGCTCCTTCCCCAGAGGTTGACAGATAGTGGGCTGGCTTTCACTTGCTCAAACTCGGGAAAGAGCGGGACTCTTGACTGCAAAGATTTCTGTATGTCCAACTCCACAAAGCAGAGTCCAGGAATCCGCCAGTCACACCTGGGGCTTGGGCTCCATACTGTGCATCCACTTGGAGAGGGTGACTCAGCCTCACTCCAGCCCTTCTCCATCAGGAGGCCTGCAGTGAGCCAGGGAACCAGTGTCATAGGAATCCAAGTGACAGCCAGGCCCCTGTCCCCACCCCAGGACATCACTGGCCTCGGATCCACAGGGATGCAAGAATCCACAGGACAGACACCCCACTCCTGTGCCAGGACACCAGCCTGCCTACCGACTCAGTGAGGCCATCTCTCCAGCCCCTTCACCCCAATCCGGCACCACGTAGCCTTGGTATATTTGATCCCAAACATTCTGGGAAGAATTACTCTCTTATCAAATCAGAGCCTGCCCGGCTCCCAGTCCAAGTTCAAATTCAAGCCCATGAGCAACCAGGCCTTCCTCCAGCCAACTCCATAGTGAGGCTTGTTGCTACATCCTTTCTTCAAGTGAAACTGTAGATAAGTCCTTTTCAAAGAACATGACATAGCCAGGACACACATGAAAACATCTTATAATGCGATGGCTAGGAGAGGCTGAATGTGGATGCCCTGAACTCTGGGTTAGGCAAGCACTGAGCTTCCTCGACACCTGGAAAACCCTTTATGAGGCTCTTAATTACAGAGTAAGTTACGCCATCTACCGCCAGTCCCCGTGGCCTAAGTGTCCATCACATCCCATGCTCCCTGTGGGAAATTCACGGTCTCCCCAGCACAGCTTCTGTCTCCAGGGTCTACGTCTTTGTTTCCCTTCCGATCTCTTTTCTGGAGCTCTCCCCATGTGGCCTCCATTGGTCACCCTTGGGATGGGAGACCCCGTGGATTCCACCGCACACTCCCTGGATGGCCTCTGGCCTCCGCTGTCCATCTGAGTTCCTTTTTGTACCTGATACCTGTGAGGACTCCCCAGGTGCTGATAGCTGACCACACCCTTGTGCCCTTGGCCAGGCCTCTGACCACCAGGATCTCAAAGGTGTGACAAATGACAAGATTTTGTGGTCTCTTTGCTTTGCCCTCCACAACCAGCCACTGAATCCTGGTGGTTTCTGTACTCAGTACACATCACATCTCAGCAGGCCATCTCCACATAGAACTACGCTTCCAGGATGCAAGCCTATGCATGCCAAGGGACACGGACATGGTCCACTGGTGACAGAACATAGCCTGGTCTTCCCGTGCAGTCTGGGACTCCAGCCCCACTCAAGCCTGCCTCTCAGACTCAGAGACGTGGGGCTGTGCAGGTTCTCTAAGGAGACCCTGGACTCCTCAAGAACAGAAACCTTTCTTACTCATCCTAGATCCCTGGATTTCCTGGATCAGGAAACATGAAAAGATATTTTTTAAGCACCTCAAATTTGTAGAAAGCATCTGTGGGGTGAACCCTTCCTCCCAGACTCTCTTGTTTTCTTGGAAACGAGGCCTCTCATAGCTCAGACTGGCCTTAAACTTGCTACTTAGCCAAAGGATAACCTTGAACAACTTCTAATGCTCCTGCCTCCACCTCCTGAGTGCTGAGATTACTTGTGTAAACCGCTGCTTCCACCACACCTGATTTATAAATGCTGGAACTGAACCCAGGCCTTCATGCATGCTCGGCAGGCACTCTACCAACTGAACTATGTTCCTCTGATTCTGATTTTTGACTCTTTCCCCACCCCAGCAGCCTAGGAACATGCCAAGGGATCCAGGGCAAGGAGACAGAGGTCAGTGGGACCTCTAGAGAGGCCAGGCTGGACACCATTTACAGACAACAGTAGACCCTCAATCCCATTCTTACACAAAACAAGACTCTGGGTTGTGCCCCCTTTGTTCATCTGGGAACATCTCCCTCCTTTTGACAAACATCCTGTTTGGGGAATCTGCAGCCAACTCCGAAAAATCTGAGCTCAGCACGTTAAAGTCCCCACCGGCTGTGAGGACACCCTCAGTCTGGCGCACACTCCCACCCAAGTAGGCCCCGAATGACACAAGATGCTTTTCTCCTGCACGCTTGGCTTTTTCCAAACAGAATCTTTCTAGAAGTATGTCTCCAGAGGAGGCAGAATTCTTAGGAAGGTGGGAAACATGGCCCTTCAACAGCTGAGTCACTGAGAACCTGGCTGTCCTCACTGACAGCTGGGCCTGGAAAAGCTCCCGTCGGAGGGGCAGGACTAGCTGTTCATCTAGCTCTGCGACCCCACAGGTGTCTGTGGTGTGAGCTTCAGACTGCAGAGCACACAGGGACCAGGAGACCACCCTCGGAGATGGAGGATCCCATGCTGTGCCTGAGCAGCTCGAGGGACTCCCTCCATGCACACGGATACCAGAAGACTGTTTCTGACAGCTGCTCACCAAGACCCTGTGCCACATCGTGCAGTGTTGGAAACCGGCTGGTCTAGTAAACTGAGGTCTCCCTTGCCTGTCCCCAGGAGAGGAAACGGTGTGGGGAGCAGGCTCTGTGCCCAGCAGAAACCCTAGAGATGCCATAGAGATGTCTGCTTTCCTCACCCCTCAGGGGACAAGCCCCTGAGTCACCCCAGAGGCCTCGCATCCTTGACTCATCCCCAAGGCTAGGCAGCCTCCTCTAGGTATATTGGCACTAGGAGGGTCCCCTAGGAGCCCCAAAAGCAGGAACCCGACAGCAGGAAACACAGTTCGACAGAGTTGGGAATGATGTTCACTGCAGGACGGTGGCACCGGGAGCCGGCAAGCAGCAAATGCTGGGGAGCAAGGCCAGAGCCCAAAGGAAGCAGCACGTGTGACTCGAAGGGAGGCCATGAAGAGAGCTCATGAATTTGAGACCCACACTTGCGCACGGGCATTAATGCAGAGGGATGACTTCCACAGGAGGACATGAGCGGAAAAACGTGGGGCAAAGATGAGAGAGAACTAAGACCAAGTCACATGGCGGAACTCACAATGCCGCGTGAAAGGCATCCACTCGGCACAAAACGGTACAGAAGAGGAAAAAGACCGTCAGGCACACAGCAGATTCCCATGCAGCAGCAGCTAAAGCAGCCATTCTTTATATATATAATTTTTTTATTATTATTTCATGTGTATGAATGTATTGCTTGCATGTATCTAATAGCACCCAAGTCATGCACTGCTTGAGGAGGTCAGAAGAGGGCATCGGATCCCCTGGAACTGGAGTTACAGTTGTTAGCCGCCATGTGGGAGCTGGGAATCGAAACAGTCACTGCCCTTAATCGCTGAGCCATCTCTCCAGCCCCATGACAGTAAGCTTTTAGGATGTTATCGCCTGTGGATGGTGGGCTCAGCCAGTACAACATCACTTTATTATAAGGGACCCAAGGTTCCCAGGAGCTAATGACATATGTGAACTGGTCCACTTGTCAGACACGGGGCCTGGAGCTGACCATGAACCCCGGCTGCTCACTGTTGGGGTGAAATTGGCACAGAGCCAGCAGTGCTCAGACTGCTATAGCGAGCAGACCTTGTGAAAGGGCCACGCTGTTTCCTCTGGGGATCGGCCAAGCTAGTGTCAGACACCCCCACTGGCACGCAGCCTCACCTGCCTTACACGTCTTGCCGTTGTCCTGAAGCTGTACCCCAGTGGGGCAGGCGCACGTGTAAAAAGGATCCCTCGGGGAGAGCAGGCATAGGTGGGAGCAGCCACCGTTGTCCTCTTCACACCGGGTGTGTACTAGTAGAGACAGGACAGAGAGTTCCAGTACAAGGTATGTGGCCCCTACCCTGACCTGCCACTCATTCCAAATGAGCCAGCATCCCACCACCTCGTCATCTGTCTCCCAGGACACCCCTTGGGTGTCCCTCAGGCTCAACGCCATACCACTGTCTCATGACATCAGGACCCTTTCCTCACAGGTCCTGCTGACCTCACCTCACCACTGCAGGGTTTCAGCCTCTCAGGTGGCCTGAATTGTCTTCAAAACTGGCTCAGACCTGCCCTGATCCTGAAGGAGGCTCCCTACCATGAATTCACACACACAAAAAACAAAAAAACCTTTATCTTTGGTCTTTTTGAGACAAGGTCTCCCTGTAGCTCCAGCTGGCATGGAACTCACTATGTAGACCAGGCTGGCCTTGAAGGCACAGAGATCTACCTGCCTCTGCCTCCCAAGTTCTGGGACTAAAGGTGTGCAACCACCATGCCCGGCAAAAAAAACAAAACAACATTTTTAGAGCCGGGAGTGGTAGCGCACACCTTTAATCCCAGCACTTGGGAGGTAGAAGCAGGCAGATCTTTGTGAGTTTGAGTCCAGCCTGGTCTACATAGTGAGTTCCAGGATAGCTGGGGCTACAGAGAGACCCTGTTTCAAAAAGACAAAAGAAAAAAAAAAACATTTTTAAAGGATCTACATCCAGGAAGGTCTCCCACCACACTCCCATGGCAGAATCTCAGGACCTGCACATAGTTTCTAGTACCTCCTTCTGCCTGGGGAAAGTAGGACTCAGCACCCCTGAAATACAGAGTTAACTGGAACAGGATTTCCTGCAGCGGACCTCTGCCCTCCCAACACTGGCAGTGGCACGTGGGCTGCATCAAGGTGGAAGAAGGGTTCAAGAACCATGACGTTTCTGCCCAGAAAATCAGTCCAGAAAACTCACCCTCCCTGTATAAACAGATGCTCTTCCTGGGCCCACCCTTAAGTTCTAAGTTCAAATCTTATAAAATGGCTTGGCTAGAAATATCCATCCCTGGTCCTTTCTCTCTGTCTCTCTGTCTCTCTCTCTCTCCACCCAGCCCAGCAAACTCCCTCTGGGAGGGTGGCCTCCTGTATGCAGGCTTATGCAGGGAAGAGATCTGGTCTAAGGTGGGACCTCAGATGTCAGTCTCTGCATCTGACTGCACAGCCTAGCCCCACCCAGCTTCACTAGGCCCCCCTGCCCTGCTAGGCCCCTCCCACCTGCACCCTACCCCAGGGTCCACCTGACTCAGCCCCAGCTACCTGTGAGCCCTGCCCTGTCTCACCTGGACCTACTGCCCAGTCCAGTCCAGCCCAGCCCCACCCAGCCCATGGCTCACCCACACTCACAGGGAGGCTGCCGCTCCTGGCTGAGCACCTGGATGTCCATGGGTGAATAGAGGGCGCTGAGGATCTCCTTCCTCTTCTCCCCAGTCTGCTTGTTGCAGGCGTGGATGGAGCGGGTTTGCCAGTCCGTCCAGTAGAGAGTGTCCCCAGAGAGTGTCAGGGCAAAGGGGTGCGTGAGACTGCCCTCCACCACCTTCTGCCTGCAGAGGACAGGAAAAGAGTTCAGTGCTTGGGAAGCCTAGATCAGCTCTGCCCTGCTCTGAAGGCCCTTGGGTCTCCGCAGACCTTACCGTGTATATCAGACCAAAGGAAAGGAACTGTGAGGCACACCCCACCAGGGCCACTCCAGCAAGCCCTTCCTGGCATGCGCGGGCACTGCCCACTCCCAGCTAGCCTCTCCTGCCTGTGATAGAAACACAAAGGGGCAAAATGCTCCCCCAAAAAGAAAGGAGCCACACCCGCAGACAAACAGCTTTGGAGAAACCTGGGTGTAAACTAATGCAATCTGGCCGGTCGTACGTGCTCGCTTACTCCCTAAGCCACAGTCTGTATCTTCAACAGCAGGAAAATGCTTTTTCTCCTGTGTGTTCAGAATGATCCACACAGGAGACATCACATTTAATGAGATTACAGACACCGGTAACAGTACCAGAACTGGACACTGCCAGTAACCTGTGATTGCTTAGTGACTGTCCCACTGCAGTGGGCTCTGACTAGCTGTGTGGTCTTGAGGACTCCCTGCCTATGACCACCATGGGAGCTGGCATCAAATGCATCATGGGGTTGGTGTGGACACTGAAGGAACTGGCAAATGTCCCTAGCACAGTTGGTGTTATGGAAGGGTTAGCCACCACTACCACCATCGTGTTAACTTGCCATGATCCCTCGCCCAGGGCAGCCAGGCTGGCGGCTTTTTCACCCTTCATTACTGCCGGAGAATCACTTGCTCCCAATGTCCACTGTCCTTAGACTGGCCTCATTTCCCAATCTCAGACCAGGCCCTGACCAGGGGGGCCTGTGTCTCCTTGCCACACACCCCAGGGAGGACAGGACACGGTGCTTTAGGTCAGCCCAACATGGATGGTTCCATTCCATGTGAGAGGTCCAGGAGGCACTGCAGCCTGCCCAACCTCAGTCAAGCCTTCAGATGAACCCTCAGCACTAGCTCTCAACATGTCCCCAGGCCAAGAACTCCCACAGTCCAAAAATCAGATCAACCAAGACTTGGTGCTGAGGCAGCGCCTAGTAAATGGCTCCTTGGCTGCTGACTCAGGTGTGTCCCTTTCCACCCATCTTGGCAGGATGCTCTCCAAGTTGCCATAGACACAGTCACAGCACCTGGGACCTGTGCTCTATTCCTGCTCCTTGGAATCCTCATTACCCAGGGCTTCAGATAGGAGCCGAGGGCCCAAGTTAGAAAGGGTCTCTGAACTCCCTGGGGCATTGAGGTGCAGTGGGGACGGGTGCCCTGCTGCCGGGTACTCACCGGAAAGAGCCGTCCAGGTTGGCTCGGTGGATGAAACTGAGCTTGGCGTCAGCCCAGTACAGCTTTTGTTCCTCTAGGTCAATGGTTAGCCCGTTAGGCCAGTAAATGTCAGAGTCCACGATGATCTTCCGGGTGCTGCCATCCATTCCCGCCCGTTCGATCCGGGGAGTCTCCCCCCAGTCTGTCCAGTACATGTACCTAGTGAGGAGGCAGGGATAAGAGGAGAACACACAACAGATCTGAGAGTTGGCTCTACTCTTTAATGCAGGCCAGAAAAGCTCATCCAGAGATACCAGTGGTTAGGGTTTGAGGGACCCAGATTTTGGGTTTTCAGGTTGGGGGATCAAAATAGAAACAGATGAAAACCAAGAATCCTAACTACAAGACCAGGTTGCACACCCAAGAGTATACAGGCAGCACAATTTGGACTCCATGTGTTTTTTAAAAAAAAAAAAGATGAGCCAGGCATGGTGGTGCATGTCTTTAATCTCAGTACTTGGGAGGCAGAAGCAGATCTCTGTGAGTTCAAGGCCACCTTGGTCTACATAGGGAGTTGCAGGCCAGCTGCGGCTACAGGAAGATCCTGTCTCAAAAAACAAGATACAGAGTTGAGTGGGTAGGGAAGGGGGGAAATGGATCTGGGAGGAGTTGAGAGAGGGGTATGTGAATATGATCAAAATATATTGTATGAAATTCTAATACATGAAAAGGAGAGACGTTGCTTGAAGTGTTTCTCTCTCTCTCTCTCTCTCTCTCTCTCTCTCTCATCTTATGTAACCTAGACTGGCATCAAACTCCTGATCCTCCGGCCTCCTCTACTTCCCAAGTGCTGAGATTACAAGCATGTGCCACCATGCCCATCTTTTAGGAACATATTCTTTTTTTTAAAAATTATTTTATTTTTTTAGAGGCTGGAGATGGCTCAGAGATTAAGAGCACTGGCTATTCTTGCAGAGGCTGGGGGTTCAATTCCTAGCATCCACATGATGGCTAACAACCATTTGTAATTCTAGTTCCAGGGGAATCTGACACCCTCTTCTGACCTCCGCAGTATTGCAGGACACGGGTGCACTTACATACATGCAGGCAACACACTCATACACATAAAAAATAAAAATAATAAATATTTTAAAAAACATAAAATGTAGGGCTGATGAAATGGCTTAATGGGTAAACACACTTGTTGTACAAGTGTTCAAAGCTGAAGAAATGAGGTCAATTCCCACAGCCATGTAAAAAAGCCAGACACCACAGCACATGTCTGTAATCTCAACACTCCTAAAGGGAAGTGAATTGCCTGGGCACTTGCAGGTGAGCCAGTCTAGAGTACACAGCGTAGAAGAAACAATAAGAGCGACCCTGCCCCAACAAGGAGAACCAACTCCTAAGAGTTGCCCTCTGACCTCCACACACACGCATGACACATATACAACCCACCCATACCTCCCTCTGTCTGTCTCTCTCTCTCTCTCACACACACAGCAATAATACATGCCTTTAAAAAGAATGTAAAATGTATCCTTAAGGATAAAGGGGCTGGGTTGTAGCCCAGTGGTAGAACACTTTCACAGCATGCACAGAACCCCAGGTTCCATCCCCAGAGCTACAGAAAATGTATGCAGCCTAGGGTGACTACGAACCACCACACACATAATCGACAGTGGGCATCACTGACCAGAATTCTACCACGAGGCCCACGGCTCTACACGTGGCCAGCTTGCTCTCGGTTAACGATGTGTTCTGACTACTTTTCCCTCTTCCTAATATTTTTTAAGATTTATTTTTAAGATTTATTTTAAAGATTTGTATTTATTTTTAAGTGCGGGGTCGGGGTCTGTGTGTATGTGTATGAATGTGTGTGACTGAAGTGGCCCACAGAAGCCAGAGGAGGGTATTGGTACCCCGAAGCTGTAGCTACAGGCAGTTTTAGCTGCCTGGTATCAGTGCTGGGAGCAGTTTACTCCGCCCAGCCACTTTTCCAGCCCTCAGAAATATTTCTTGTTGATCTGGGTGTAGCAGTACGCGTCTGTCATCCAGCACTGGGGAGGCTTGGGTGGGAGGATCACAAATTCAAAGCCAGCCTAGACTACACAGTGACTTCAAGACCAGCGTAGGAGACTGTCTCAAAAACACAAAACAAGCCAGTGGCGTGGTGGTGCACAGCTTTAATCCCAGCACAGGAGGCAGAAGCAGGTGGATCTCTGTGAATTCGAGGCTCACCTGGTCTACATAATAGACCTGTAGCCCTTAGCCAGGGCTACATGGTGAGAGCCTGTCTCAAAACAAACCATGGTGGATGTATGTGAAATAACAGCAGCGACTCCCAGAAGGGCCTGTGGGGAGGAGGCTTTGCTGATCTATGTGTCAAACTCTCAACAAGGGGCCAGTGTCACATAGGTACAAGATACCCCCACCCTACTCCTTGGAGTGTCCTTCTGTGGGCTCCTGTCAAGACCAAGTGAGCAAACACTGGGTGCCCAGACACCAGCATCTGGCACGGCAGGTCCCAACCCCACCAGTGCCCAAAGATCATCACCACAGGGTGTGCACATATGCTGAGCAGAGCCCACACAGAACCATGCCAGCCTTGGCACACAGGTTCCCCATCCAGGAGTCCATGGGAAACAAAGCTGACAGGAACAATTTGTTCCGTCCATCTCTGTAGAGAAGGGGACAGTGTCAGAGCATCCCCCTGAGGAACCCACCTCCCACTCCTGGTCCTTGTAAGATGCAGTACCAGGACACTCTTTTGACATCCCAGGTTCATAGGCCTGCCAAGTCCTTAACTTCTAGCATATTCTTTCCAGTGCCAGGCTAGTCTCCCCTCACCTTACCCAACATTTTGTCAGAGGTTTAAAACGTCATTCACATAGGCCAAGCCCAAGCTGACCCGGGAGCCGTGTAACCCAGGGAGAAGGGGATAAGCCCTTGCATCAGACTCACAGGATGGCTCTCCAGTCCCCTACGCTGTCCTATGTGTCAACCATTGCAGGGAAAGCCAGTCTGCTGCTCCCATTAGACAGATGAGGAAGTCAGGGTTCTGGCAGGAGGACTTGTACTGCACATATGCCAAGTGGCAGCCCCAGACAGCAGCCTAGATGTCCAGGGAAGGCCAGAGCCACATGGATGATTTACCTTGTGCCAGCAGGGTCAGGGTTCCTGTGGGTTCTCCAAGTGGCTCGGAGCCCAGAGGTGGGACAGCCTTGGACCTGTGGTGTGGGCAGTCCTTCCTTCCTTCCTTCCTTCCTTCCTTCCTTCCTTCCTTCCTTCCTTCCTTCCTTCCTCCCTCCCTCCCTCCCTCCCTCCCTCCTTTCCCTGTTTTCCCTCACCCCCATAGGCCTGGAATGAGCCCAGGGCCCTGTCACCCACTTAGAGGTGAGCACTGTGGCCCAGCACTAAGGCCAGGCAGGGAAACAGGGTTAGTAGTTCACATTCCTTCCCAGGTTCCCAACAGCCTGCTGTTTCCTTAAATGGGGAACTGGTGAGCTGCTGGCTCAGCTGGACAGGCCCATGCAGGCTCCTGCACTGCTCCAAGACTCAGGACATCAACACTTCCCTGGAGAAATGAGGCAGCAGGCCCTCGCAAGGCCGTGGTGCGGGGCTGTTGCTTCAAGGCAGCACTGGATGCATTTCTACCTTACCTGGAGACCAGCAGTCCCTGCAGCCCTCATCAGGCTGTGCAGCAGGGCCTCCCCAGGCTGGATCAGGGTCCTCCCGGCCCTAGCACCTTCTCTGCCACTCCTGGGCTGTGTATACTAAGACAGACAAGTGGATGACAGTCATCCTTCTTGATGGAGGCTGGGGCAGGGGTCCCCACATCTGAGGGAGGCTCTTGTGGGGGACAGCGGCACGGGCTCCTACAGAGCCGGAAGGAAGGCTAAGCTGCTCCCCTCAACTCCCCTCCACTAGCCCCACTCCCAGCAGCACCCCACTTTCACACCTTCCTTCATCGGGGGCTGAAGGAGGTGGCAGACGGCCTAGTGAGAGCTTTCTAGGGGAGAGCTCAACAGTAAGAGCACAAACGAATGACTCGAACATTCAATAAGGACAGCCAAGGCGGAGGAGGCTAACTGGATCCCAGAAACAGTATACGCTGTGCCAGCCCAGGTGGGGAAGTGGGAAGCACTGTGCTCCCAACCAAGTACCTAGCATCTCTAAACAAGCATCAAGTACCACCCAACCAAGTACTAAGCACTCCTGACCAAGCACCAAGCACCTTCCAATCCAGGACCAAGCAATTCCCAATCCAACATTTCCTAGTAGAGTGCTAAGCACCTCTTTAAAAGTCAAAAATTGAAGAGCTGGAAGATGGTTCAGCGGTTAAAAGCACTGGCTGTTCTTGCAGAGGACCTGGGTTCAATTCCCAGCACCCAGATGGTGGGCTCAAAACTGTTTATAACTCTAGTTCCAGGGGATTGAATGCCCTTTTCTGGTCTCTGCAGGCATTGCATGCATGTGATGCACATACATGCATTCAGGCAGGCACTCATAAAATGGCCCCAGTAGCCCCAGCTACCCTGGGACTCACCAGGCTGGTCTAGATCCCACAGAGATCTGCCTGCCTCTGCTTCCCAAATGCTGGGATTAAAGGTATGTACCACCACACCTGGAAAGATCTGTTTTTAAAAGGAAAAGGCTAGGGGCTGGAGAGATGGCTCAGCGGTTAAGAGCACTGGTTGTTCTTGCAGAAGACCCAGGTTCGAATCCCAGCACCCACATGGCAACTAACAACTGTCTGCAACTCCAGTCCCAGGAGATCCCACAGCCTCTTCTGATCTCCACAGGCATTTCACGACACGGGTGCACTTACCTACGTCCAGGATATAGCACTCATACACATAAAAATAATAAAAATTAAAAAAAAAAAATCGACCCACAGGCCTCTCTCCGGGGGCTTATACTGAGTTCAATAATATATAACTAACTAATTCAACTGTGAACCTAGAAACTTGCACCCACTTGTGAAAGAGATGTACTCTTGTTCTGGAGTGTGTTACTGAATATGTTAAAGCTGTAGTGAAAAGCTTCTAATCATGTAGTTATTAAATTTTAAAAAGTATGATGATTAAAATAAATAAAAATAAAAAACAAAAGAGAAAGGCTATTAAACCTGCATATATGCAGAGACTATATTGTGCAGTGAAGGAAGGCGATTATAACAACAGCAACATTTATCCAACCCAGGAACTTTCCTATGGCATGAGAAGGTCACAGCACATCTCTGTATAGATGGGGACAGGGAGGAACAGGGCAGCACAAGGCCACCCTTGTCACAAGCAGAATCCAGCTGCTCCTGCCTTCAGAATAGATTGTAACCCTGGCTACTTTCCACCCCAGCCCACTCTCCCTCTGGACCAAGTCACTGCCCTTCACTGCCATCCGTAACTGCCCATGAGCTTGCACCAGCTGCTCCAAGTCCAGCCTCCATCCGCCACAGGGCCTTTGCACTGGTCATCCCACAGCCTGAAATGTTCTTCTCCAATCACCTTCATCCACTTCAGGTCTCTGCTCAAAAGCCACCAAGAAGCCAGGGCCGGTGGCAAAGGCCTGTAATCACAGCCGCTCGAGGGGTTGAGGCAGGAAGATTCCAAGTTCAAAGACTGCCTGGGCTAGTCAGTTCAATGTCAGCCTGGATAGCCTAGGAAGACTTTGTCTCAAAATAAAGCACAGGAAAAGGGACAGAGATGTGGCTCAGAGCTAGACCGTGCTTGCTCTGGATGTGCAAGAGTCTAGGCACCGAGAGGCCTTCCTGGGCTCCCAATAGGAAGCCCTGACTGGCCCTGTCCCCAGGCCCCTGCTGTGCTCTGCTGGTGGTTCTCATGCCTCTCAGACATGCCACATCTGCACCATTTTCTTGCCCACCAGTGCCTTGTAAGGACATTTGGGGCAGTGGTGGGACCCACAGCAGGAGAACGGGTCTTCATGCATACGTTCATGAACGCTGCACCTGGGAATGTGACGGGGGGGGGGCGGGCAGAGCGTTCAGTCCAGTAGCGGTGGGAGAGCAGGGTAGAGACTCGAGGACAGAGAGGTCCTGCCGAGCAGTGCTGGGCCTGCTCTCTCTCAGCCTCTACCGCATGGATGTGCCACTCTTAGCCAGGGAGACAGCCGCGTCCTGGGAAGGCTGTCAGGGGCTCTGAGGTCCCTGGGAGAGGTCTGAGGAGAGTGTTCACAGGTGGCACAGGGATGTTCCACAGAGGTTGGCTTGAGTCCTACACAGCTGGGGAGCAGCTCCCTTCCAGGGAGAAAGGGGCCCACAGGGGCTGGTAGCCACTGGCATGGCACCCAAGCAAACCCCATTCACTCCTGGTGTGTATGAGCTGGACATACACACACATACATGCACGCTCATCCACAGCACAATACCTACATACTTGATCATATGCACACACTGATGTAGACACTGGTGCACACACACAGGCTCAGCAACACATGTACTCAAGAACATGCATAATTGTATGTACACATCTGTGTACACACAACACATAAGTACACATCCTTGTTCACATACAACCACACACTTGTGCACACATAAGTCACATGTACACATTCATGTGCATACACTGTCACATACATGAGAGCACACACACACATCACAGTTAGCTTCAGGTGTCAACTTGCCACAAACGTAGTCACCTGGGAAGAGGAACCCTTAACTGAGAATTTCTTCCATCAGCTTTGTCTGCAGCCATGTCTGGGGAGCATTTTCTTTTCTTTTTTTAAAACAATATTTCATTTAGCCGTGCGTGGTAGCACACGCCTTTAATCCCAGCACTTGGGAGGCAGAGGCAGGCGGATCTCTGTGAGTTCGAGGCCAGCCTGGTCCACATAGTGAGTTCCAGGCCAGCTGGGGCTACAGGGAGACCCTGTCTCAAAAAGACCAATATATATTTTTATGTGTATGCATGTATTGCCTGCATGTAGGTAAGTGCACCCTTGTTGTTCAATGCCCATGGAGGACAGAAGATGTCGGATCCCCTGGAACTGGAGTTACAGTTTTTAGCTGCCATATGGATGCTGGGATTCGAACCCAGGTCTTCTGTAAGAACAGCCAGTATTCTTTACTGCTGAGCCATTTTCTTAACTGGTCACTGATGTGAGGGTCCAGCCCACTGTGGGTGGTATCATCTCTGGGCAGATAGGCCTGCACTGTATAGAAAAGACAGCTGAGCAGCCAGGGGAGCAAGCCAGTCAGCAGCATTCCTCTGTGGTCCCTATTTCAGTTCCTGCCTCCAGGTTCCTGTCTTGGTTCTTCTCAGTGATGGACTGTGCCCTGTGAACCAAATAACCCCCTTCCTCCCCAAGCTGCTTTTGGTTTGGTGTTTAGCACAGCAACAGACAGCACACACATGTGTACACCCTCACACACACAAGCACATTCCTGCAGCTCGTTCACACGCTCATGTAGGCTCACTCAGGCCAACACTTGCTCTTGCACACGGAGACATACACACTCACACACATGCATATGAACGTACACTCTCATGTAAACACACATGCAATAAGACTTCATTGTCTTCCAGACCAGCTGGGGCTACAGGGAGACCCTGTCTCAAAAACATGAAGAAAAAAAAGAAAGACTTCATTCTTGCAGACTCATGTATGCACAAGTAGTCTCAAACATATTCACACCACATACAAACATCCACAGGCACACAAACACATGCATGTGCACACACATGCTCACATAAAACACATTCTCACACACTAGTGCAATGCCTGCACACAGACCTCACTCATACCCACACGTGCTTGTGACATACTTTCCCATGCACACACGTATCCCAGGCTTTTGCACAGAGCAGCTGGCTCCCAAAGCCCAGCTATCCTCGCTCGCTCAGAGGCCGGTGGAGTGTCACGTGACCTCAGCCCTACAGCTCCTGCCTTACCTGGCCTGCTCCTCAATCCCCAGACCGCACCACGGCAGGTTCAGGCCCGCCTCCCAATCCCGACTCCAAACCCACCAGCCGGGGCCAGGAGCATATGCACTGGCCAAGCCGGAATCTCCCGGCCCAGCTTCTGTTCAGCCCACAGCAAGCTGGAGTCACCCCAAGGCAAAGAGCCCACAGACAGGGAGCAAGTTGGTGGCACCAGGGGTAGAGCCCAGGGCTAGAGTCCGGGACTATCCAGTCCTGCTACAGGATTCAGATGGCACTCCACCCCAGGGACAGCCAGGGGACAGGCTTAGGACCCCTGACCATGGGAAGATGGTAGGACATGGGGCAGCTGGGAGCCCCACAAAGGGAGCACCTTTGGGGTTTATGGCTCAAAGATGCAGGTAGGGTCATAGAGGACCATACCTGGCTCATTTGGCGAGACCCTAGCTGTGACTTCTCAGAGGCTCTGAGACATTAAAGAAGCTAAAATTCAAAGTGCTTCCAACATGGCCTAAGGCAAAACACAAAACTAGTTCATCGGTTCTGCTGGAGACATCGGGACATCTGTCTGTCTGTCTGTCTGTCACACCTGAGCCAGCACAGAACTCCACTGGCAAAAGTCTGTGTGCCACACTCCAGGGTCAGTCCTGGAAGAACAGTGAAGGAGGGGTGAGGGGTGACAGGAAACTGTCCACTTAGGAAAGTCTGGAATGAGCTCAGCTGGTGAAGCCGGGCCGTCTCCCCCACCTCCATTCTTCCCACATGCAACTGAAGGACATTCTTGGCTTGACCAGCATTCCCTTCCCATGTGGCCCCTGTGGCCACTCTGAGCTCTTCAGGGTGAGCTTGACCACAGGAGCAGGAAGACAGCTTCCAGAATACACAGAGGGCACTGTGTCCAGACAGGGACCCATCTCAGCCAACGTACCCACAAAAGGGATACTGGGCTATTCCTCCTAAGGGCAAAAGATGTTCAACCTCAAATCTTTTGTTTGTCCATTTGGAGTGTGCATGTGCGTGTATATGCGTGCATGCGTGTGTGTACCCACATACATGAGAAGGCCAGAGGACAACCTTAAGTATTGTTCCTCATGCACCATATACCTTAAATTTTCAACATTTATTTTTACATATGAATGTTTTGCCTTCGTGTATGTGCACCACATGCATGCAATGCCTGCAGAGGCCAGAAGAGGGCATCAGATCCCCTGGAACTGGAGTTAGGGACATTTGTCAACCTCCATGTGAGTGTTAGGAGCTAAACTGGGTCCTCTGGAAGAGCGGCCAGTACTCTAACTGTTGAGTCATGTCTCTGTCTCCGTGTGTGTGTGTGTGTGTGTGTGTGTGTGTGTGTGTATTTAATATTTTATTTTATGTGTATGCATGTATTGCCTGCATGTAAGTAAGTGCACCCATGTTGTCCAATGCCTACAGAGGACAGAGGAGGCCATCAGAGTTACAGACAGTTGTTGGCTGCCGTGTGGGTGCTGGGATTCGAACCTGGGTCTTCTGCAAGAACAACCAGTGTTCTTAACTGCTGAGCCATCTCTCCAGCCCCTTTGGGTGTGCTTTTTAAGACAGGGTCTCTGTAGCCCAGGCTAGGCTAGAACTCGTAGCAATGTTGCTGCCTTAGTCTCCGGAATGCTGAGATCACAAGGGTGAGTCACCACACTTGGCTAGACATGGCACATTTTAAAATCTGGGATCTAGGGGCTGGAGAGATAGCTCAACGGTTAAGAGCACTGACAGCTCTTGCAGAAGACCCGGGTTCAATTCCCAGCACCCACATGGCGGCTACGAACCGTCCTTAACTCCAGTTCCAGGGGAATTGAAGCCCTCTTCTGACCTCCACGGCATTGCACGACACAGGTGCACTCACATACATGCAGGCAATACACTCACACACATAAAATAAAAGTAATAAATAAAATATTTTTTAAAAATCTGGGATCTAGAGGGGTGATGATCCCTAGCAAGGGGCCATTCTGCCAGGAGATCCCCTCCTCTGCCACATGGGTTCTGCAGAAAGAACCCTGGCAACCACACCCACCCACAGGACCAGGAGGGTAGCAGAGGTTTACCCATGTGCGGGGTCCAGAGCAATGGCCCTCGGTTGGTCCAGGTCTTGCCAGAAGAGCACCTTGCGAGATGTCCCATTGAGGTTGGCCACCTCGATGCGGTTGGTCTCTGAGTCTGTCCAGTACAGCTTCTTGCCAACCCAGTCGCAGGCAAGGCCATCAGGTGACACAAGGCCAGAGATGACGACACTCTGTGCAGCTGCCCCAGTCTGGTTCAGGTAGGTCTGTTTAATGGCTTCCTCGCTCACATCTGTCCAGTACACAGCACCCTTGGAGAACTGGAAGTCCACGGCTGCCGCATCCTCCAGGCCGCTGGCCACTATGGTGGACTCCAGCTTCACTCCACCAGCGTCCACCAGCCGCACGTCCCGGCGGTTGGCAAACAGCAGGAGAGGCGAGGCTGTGGGCAGAGCAAAGGGTGAGGGCCGCTAGCTGAGGAAGGAAACCAAGCCCCAAGGACAGTGGAAAGGGAATCATGCATGGCCCGCCTCTGACACCTACCCTGTGCACATCCAACACCCCTCCCTTCCAGTCTTCAGCACCCAAGACTCCTCCCTTTCAGATTATAGCCTTCAAGACTCCTTCCTTCCAGTCCTTAGCACATAAGACCCCTTCCTCAGTATCCAAGACCCTTTCCTTTTGATCCTCAGCCAAGACCCTTCCTTTCAGACCACAGCATCCAAGACCCCTCCCTTCTAGACCTCAGCATTCATGACCCCCTCCTTCTGATCCTCAGCACTCAAGACCCATTCACTCAGATTAGGTGTTACCACTGACCCCGTCTGTGCACGTGTGTACAAGGCCACCATGCCAAGGTTTCCTGAGGCAAGGTGGTAATGTGGGGATTAGTGTTAAGAGTCACACACTGCTGTGGATCCTGACCTTCTTGGGGTCACAAAGCTCTAAGAAGCCGATACCCAACACACAGCAACATCATTGGGTCCCACAAGTCTTCCTATCAGGTTAGCCCAGCCCCAGTTGCCCTGCCTCATAGAATCTTGCTAGACGCCCCCTCACCACCCAAGGCAGAGAGAAAGACCAGAGATGTGTGGCTGTCCATCTGAACCGGCAACAGCAGACGGGACCGTTTAGGGAGCTGTAGAGGAACAGGCAGGTTGGTCAGTAGCATCATCAGGGACCCAGTTGAGTACCTCCAAGACGGGCACAGACTGTGGACTGGGAGTCCCTTGGGCTGGGCATCTGGGGGCAGTGATACCCTAAGAGGTGAGGAGACAGCTGCCCAGAAACCCTGGTGACCATTCCCAGAAGCCAGTGGTCCAGAGGGTCCCTTGGAGGTAAGATCAGCCCAGGAAGGGAGGTGGGAGTCCCTAGAAGTTACCTGAGGGCCCCAGCTCTGCTGTCCTCTCCCCAAACCGGAAAGACTACTTTCGCTACCTGACCGGGCTCTCAGCAGTTCAGGTGTGCTCTTCAGAGGTAGAGATGGGGGTGTTTTGTAACTTCCTATGTTTTTCCCAACCCTACACTGGGAGCAAGGGCATTAAAGCAAAGCCCAGGAGCCAGGAGTTGGGGAACCGGGAGGGGTTGGGGAGCCAGGGGCAGCCTTCCACCTCTGAACCACTGAGGAGACCACACACTTAATTCCAAAGTTTTACAGGAGCCCACATCATACTCCTGGGGAACTGGCTTTCCATGGAGAAGTCCTGGCAGTGGCCCCAGGTGTTCAGAGTGAGTCAACCCCCATGTGGGTGGCTCTCCACCCACACCCAAGGACACAGGCAGCCCCGCCTCCCTTCCTTTGCCCAGGGAGCCCTGGACGGGACAATATGCTGACATGTGCACTGTGACACCCCAGAGCTCCACAACCTCCCTCTCCTAAGGTGCAAGGAGCAGAGAAAAGCAGAGAAGAGAAAGTTCTGGAAGGAAGTAAGATAGGTAGATGTGAAAGAGAAAGAGCTACAAGGGGCTGAGTCAGGATGCCCTTCCCAGGACAGTGTTGAGCATGCAGGGACTTCGTGGGCCAGGAGGCCTTAGAGGTCCCATGTTCCAGTGAGGAAACAGACATTGACCAAGAACACAGTAAATGAAGAGCTTTTGCTGATGACAGATGGATGCTGTAGACAGATGGACACTGTGGACAGATGGACACTATGGATGGGGCACTAGGTCAGGGGACTGGGAAGGGAGCAGGCTGCAGCCTACAGATCAGGGGAGGCCTCACTGAGAAGGGAGCTGTAAACCCATCAAACGGCAAGGGGTGGGAACATACAGGGGCAGAGCATGCTGGAGAGAATGCACTGGACACTGGGCCTATGGGTTCCTTCCCTACCTGGTGACTTGCCCAGGTGTCCAAGGCCACATACTGCATAGGCTTCCAAGGTTGACCTTTGGCCTCTACATGCACATGTAACGACACACACACACACACACACACACACACACACACACACACACACACATACACACACACACACACAGAGAGAGAGAGAGAGAGAGAAACTGTGTCTACTAAAGTGATAGACATGAAAAATAAGACCATCAGAAAACGCTTGATGTTAAATCAAAAGGGGGCTAGAGAGATGGCTCAGCAGTTAAGAGCACTGTCTGCTCTTAGAGAGGACCTGGACTTGCTTCCCAGCAGCCACATAGCAGCTAACAATCATCTGTAATTCCAGCTCCAGGGGATCTGATGCCCTCTTCTGGCCTCTGTGGACACTGCACACACATGGCATATACATGCACACACACACACACACACACACACACACGGCCTGTGAAATGCTCAGGGGGGCAAGGCACTTGCCACTAACCCTGACAACCTGAGTTCAATCTCCAGGAGCTACATGCTGGAGGGAAAGAACTGACTCTTCCTACACATGGTCCTCTGCATGCTGTTCTCCACATGTGCGCCGCATAAGAGAGAACTGGCTGGGGACGAAGGCTAACGGCTTAGTCAGGTAGAAGAGATGTCTCTGCCTTAAGACTTGTAAGTATGTATTTTCAAATGCTTTAACTCCAAATCCCACTTCTGTTAGAAAGCTATTTGTGCAAGTGTTTTGTTTTTTTTTGTTTTGTTTTTTTTTTGTTTTTTTTTCAGGGCTGAATATCCCAAGAGGCCAGGCCTCTGGGAGAGCACTAGCCAGTTGGGGGGAGCTTCATTCAAGGACCCAGGGTCAGCAGCCCGGCTACCCTGGCCAGGGTGAAGTGCTCCTTTGACAGACACATTCTCCCTGTGATGTGGGGATGGGGTGTCCTTCAGCACCTCCAAACCAGATCTGGCAAGGTTTTACCAAGCAATGCAAGAAGGCTTGTGTCAAGGGCTCCCCAGTCCAGGGTCATCTCCTGGAGGGAACTGGGCTCAACTCCAGCCTGTTCCCCAGCTAGAAGATCTAGGACCAGGGTTTTCTGGGGTTTTTTTTTAACCCACTCTCTGAACCTCAGTTTCTTCTCACACACACACAAAAATTGTTTTGTTCTGGCATACACCTGACAGGTGGCATACACCTGTAATCCCAGCACTCAGGAGGTAGAGGCAGAAGGATCATAAGTCCAAGGTCATCCTTAGCTACATCATGGTGGGTTTGAGGCCAGCCTGGGCTATATGAGACCCTGTCTCAAAACAAAGACAACAAAGAGTTAATCTTTTGAAAAGGCAGCACTGATGGCTGCACAGGCCAAATTCCCTGTGACAGGTGTCAGGCTCCCCTGGCCCATCCTGATATGCCCACTGGTTTAATCTGGTGTATTCCTTCTCATGGGACACGCCACACTCCCCCAGGGATTCTTAGCACTCACTATCAGGGGAGGGAAGCCTACTGCTCAGACCTATTTCTGATGGGTGGACATCTGCTGCTCCCCAGACAACCACCAAATCAGTATTAGAGAAAAAGACCAGCTCAGGCCCCCGTCTGCCTTGGGCACCAGGCCAAGTGGTCAGTTTACCATCCCCACCACAGTAAAATCAGGAGTCTGAAAATCCCAGTGCCAGCAATCCCATTTTAACCCATGTAAGGATATCCAATATTTATATATAGAATTTGTAACAGATGGTTTGCCTGTTAGCCCAATAGCCAGTGTTTTATACTGTTTACATGGTTACCCCAAACAAGGTCCAGTTCTAGGTAGTCCAATCCTTTGCTACAATCCCAAAATGAGCAGCAATCTTGGTTCATGCCTTACTTATATTCACCAAGCATCACATTGGGCCTCCGAAGCCTTGACAGATCAGGTAGAAGCCTGCATGCATCATGGATGATGGGTTGGTTCTGTCTAAATCAACCAGATGGGAAAGGCCATGCTGTAGAAGGAACCAGGGTCCAGACACGAAAAGCCCCCCAACTTATTTGGAGAGCATGCATACACATGCACACAGTGTCACACCTCTTAAGCGAGATGTGGGTTCATACAGAAGGAGCCCCAAGGAGGTGGTGCTAGTGGTAGGTAGGCCAGCAAGCTTCCTGGACGAGGGGATCTGGGACCTCAAAGACAACAAGACACAGGGAAAGGTGACCACGCCCAGGCCCTACCCCAAACTGCAACTATGACCTCAAATCCCACGAATTCTACCTAACCCTCGGCCACCCAGACACCCACCTCTGGATACCTACGAGCTTGGGATGCTCTCTCTTTTTTTGTCTTTTTGAGACAGGGTCTCCCTGTAGCCCCAGCTGGCCTGTAACTCACTATGTAGACCAGGCTGGCCTTGAACTCACAGAGATCCACATGCCTCTGTCTCCCGAGTGCTAGGATTAAACGTGTGCGACATCATGTTTGGGATTCTCAAAGCGCACATCCTCGCACCCTGTCCCCAGTACTGCCGTAAAATGGCAGAGCAAGTATGTCCCCTGAGCCATCCCCTCAGCGCTATCCTGCTGTCTTAAGCTGCCACACCCACCACTGCCCCCAGAAACCAACCCTGAAACTTTCTATAGCATTTTATTTAAAGGTTTTACAAAACAAAAAATCAAATTTGGCAGAGCCAGCTGGGCAGAGACAGAATGGTACTTAGACAGGCCTTTCATACTCGTGAGAATCTGGGGTTCTTTTTCTTTTTTTCATGACTAGGGATCAAACCCAGGATCTTCTGTACGCTAGACAAGCTCTCTACCACTGAGCTAAACCCCAATCTCAATATGTAGTCCAAGCTGGCCTCCAACTCAGTAATCCTCCCATCCAGACTCCCAAATTCAAGGACCACAAAGTGCACCACACACGCAGTGAAATATGGAGTATTATTTTTTAGCATTTATTTTTATTTATTTATTTATTTATTTATTTATTTATTTATTTTGGTGTTTTTGAGACAGGGTCTCCCTGTAGCCCAGCTGTTCCTGGTACTTGCTTTGTAGACCAGGCTGGCCTTGAACTCACAGAAATTTGCTGCCTCTGCCTCCTGCTGTCTTCCTTCCCAGCCGGTATTATTACCGGGGAATTACTTTTTTT